TAAGATTGTGGAAATTTACATACTGGCACATTAATATTCAATGATTATTTATCATACAATGTACTGCATAAATGGCAGATTTTCAACATGTAGACAGGATGCAAGAGAGGCTATCAGTGAACACATGCACATCTGGAAGAGACTGTTTGCTTAGCAGAATCTGTTAACCCATATTACAAACTTAAAGCAATTATAAGAAACACACAACACAGGCCCGTAGCCAGCAATTTCAAAAGGGGGGTTCTTTTTCTGAAAAAGTGGACCTTTTCCCATAAAAACTTCATGTACCTAGCTCAAATTTCACCCAGAGTGGACCTTTTTCCAGCAAAAGGGGCGGTTCTTTCGAACCCCCCAAACCCCCCCTGGCTACGGGCCTGCAGCAATTAAATTTTGTTATGGAATCGATGCTCTTATTCTTTGATCATGACTGTCCTATGCACTTAAAAGCTTCATGATGTTATAGAAATAGTCAAAAAGGATTTTTAGGTTTGATAACCAATCAAGATTTTAGTGGTGCTTTCATTCAGAAATAAAATTTAAAAGGTATATTTGCTGTTTTTCAAATTATTTCCAATTATGGAAACTAAAGATATAAACTTGTGAGATATCGGTGATTAATATTCCCCTCTCCCTCAGTAGCATTATACTAGTTCAGTGAATTTTGTTAAAACTTTGGTTTAGTTGGATAATTATGGATAAATCAATTTATCTGTAAAAAAATGTTTTGGTAGGCCTCCTACTTTAAAATATTTTGTCTTGCAGAATTATGAAAGCTTAAAAACAATATTTCATAGTATCTTCGAACATATTATGGACAACAGACTGAAAGACACTTTATGAAAAACGTTGCAGTGAGAAAATAAAATTCCTTTTGAAAGCACACTAAGTGCATTTCTTGGTACTCTCAAGGCTTGAACTTGTCAGGTTAGCAATGTCACTTAAGCCCTTCTTGATAGCTAGTAGCTTATCAAACACTTCGAATTGAGAGATTTTAATGCAATATAGATATCATTATCAAATAATTTTTAATATGTTGGCATTTTGAAAGTGTAATTGTGAACTTCCATGGGCCCGTAGACCTTTGCTTATTGCATTTTCTTAATATCTGTCTTAGGCTGTATTCCCATAGATTTTAGATCGATCTATCCCTGTGGGGAGTCTCACTAGATTACTGTCAGATAATCTGGCTTAAATGTCCGTCCCGCTTACTACAAGCTGTAAGGGGGTAATTAACTTTCGTGCCTGCTCGACTGACAGCTATTTAGCGTGAACCCCCAGGGAGTTAGGTCGAACTAGTTTGGATCGATCTAATCTCTGGGAATGGGGTCTTAGCTGCATAATTAAAAATTTGTGGTGATTATGCTGTTGAGCATTAAGGGGCCCGCACACCGTGAGCATTTGGCGCGCGCCACTTGCGCTGCGCCGTTTTCTCATCGTGTGCGGGGGTATTTTGGTGAGATTTTTGCCTCTCGCGCAGCTGAGCAAAATATCTCACGTGTTTGATATTTTTGGTCTCTTGAGGCAAATGTCTCAGCGTGTGCGAGGTGCAAGTGCCGATTGCTCACGCCATGCAAACAATGCGCATGTGCCGGTAGCCGGAAACAAAGAAAAATGGTAGCCCCCAGCGAAGTAAACAAAAATGTACACAGTTATAGTTAGTCTGATTGATTAACGTGGTCACCATTTGCCATTACTTTCAGAAAAAAAATAAATATGTAATGTTTCCTTAATCACATGATTCCACAGTTCGCGGTGCGTCCGATAGGGGCAGGCCGGGATGCACCTCTGCTGAGCAAGTGGCGCACGCCAATTGCTCACCGTGTGCGGGGTGCTTTAAGTTGAAGAAAACCCTATTTTGGGCACTGCCACCATAGTGACCAGTTCAGGAAAACCATTTCACTTGTGACTCTCAAACTTACAGAAAAGAAAACAAACATAAGACAGCTTTAGGTGGAAAATCAGCCTTATTGGATTCTCCTTTTATTTTTATTTATTTATTTATTATTTTTTTTGGAAGTTATTCAGTTTTTAGTGAAATGTAAATTTTTCAGTTATTGGCAATTTCAAGGTTTGACTTTGAACTACCATGGGGTAAATTGATGGGCATTATGCTTTTAAGCATTTTGTGAAATTGTATCAGAATTGAATAAAAACCATCGCATTTAAGAAAAGCCATGTTTCTTATATGATTTTAAAACTTAATGAAAAGATTCATAGGACTGAAATGCAGCTCGAGTTGGAAAACCAGTCTGATTGCATTTTTATTCTGGAAACTGTGCAGTTCTTAATGAAATTTTCAATTTTGTTATTGTGGCAATTCAAAGTGTGAACTTGAAATCTCATTGTCCTTACGGTAGTTACATATTCCTAACATCTGACAGGGCTTGACTTAAACTTTTTTGAGGCATTTGCCTGTCGAGCAAGTAGGTCTGAAAATTGCTCGCACTTTTAGAGTTGCCGAAACAATGCACTATTGCCTGTTATACAAGTTACTACTACCCCATTCACACTACAGTTGCCAAAATGCGCATTTCTATAATTCGGATTTTTCATAAGGAATCCGATTCGGTATTGCGTTCACACTCGCTAAGCGAATCCGAATCCCATGTTGAAAATTTCAGGTTTAACTTCCTGTTTTGAACACTCGCGCATGCGCCGCACAGGAAATCTTAAAATACCAACAAAAATTTGTGACGACAAATGCAACTCAGAAGACATTCCAGCATTCTTGAGAAGTATAAGGTGGCAAAATAAGTTTGTTTCCTCATGTTGTAGTGAGTGGTGACCTCCAAATACGTTTGGTGCAATCGCTAAAGTAATAAACAAGCGTTCATAGATATCCGCACTTATCAGCACACATGCGCAGTAAGATCTGTACAGGTGTCCATTCCGGTAAGTTATCTGGATCGCGCTTAGAAATCCACCTCGCTTGCAGGATTTTGAAAATGCGCATTACAAAAATCCTCTTGCGTTCACACTACTGCATTTATTCGAATTGTGACCTAATTCGCAATTTATCCGGATAACTGAGCATAGTGTGAACGGGGTATACGTTATTTTGCATCAGGATGTTTTCCAGTCTTTGGCAGAAGACATGGTAAACGTGCATCGAAGTACAGCAAGTAGAGTCATAAACTGTGTGGCATCATCAATAGCATGCAGGTTTGATGCATTTGTAGGCATGTCCCTTGATGATGCAAGTGTTGCTGAAAGAAGGGAAAGTTCTACACATTCGCAGGCTTTCCACATGTCATTGAGTGTGCAGATGGCACATTCCATCAGGTGCAGTTGATATGTGATGCCGTCTTGCATTTCATGATTTCTTTGCGCTTTTCCAATTTAACTTTCTCAATTTCCCCTGTAAGAAATGTTTTGTGCGGTTCTTCTCTTTTTAAACAAGGTGTAGCAGAGGGTCTACTCTTGGCTGATGAGGCGACTGAATTAGATTGTTTTCGTTTTGATGTGCTTAAGGTGGCATCTGATGCATGAAACTCTGATATTGGTCCCATTGGTGATGTCGACGTGGACGCTGACGTGGGTTACTTGTTGTGGCAGTCTGTGTCAGACTCTACTGACGCAACTGCCATTACACTACCCTCTAATGGTGATTTCATATATGAAAGGAAATACTTAAATACGAAATAAAACCACTTTTTAGACTTCATGTAGCAGTATATCGAGAACCATATATAAATGAGCATGTATGAACTATATATGAGTTTTTAACATAACAGTGTTACTTTTCACAGTTAAGGAACACGTGAAATATCAAATTTATTAATCAATAAAAATTTAAGATGAATTTCTGCTACAATTTGACAGTACAATGATAAAACAAGTCTTACTACCTGTATCCAGCACTTGAGATGTCTCAGACTCAATTACACGACTTTCTCCTCCTCCAATTATTCCTGTCAATGAAGGGGCATTTTTACCAACTGTATCTAAAACTATATCCATGTAAGGACTTTCCACTGGCTGTTTTTCTCCTCCTGTCTTGGGTTGCTTTCAGTTGGAGAGGTCTTTCTTTGCTTGGACTACAAATCTTTCCACTTGTGTTTTAACTCCTCTGCAGTTCGATTACTAGTAGCTGTACCTTCAGCATTGACTTTGGGTGTAATATTCTGCCAGATTCTTTTTCTGTTTGGCAGTGGTTGAGTTGCTCAGTTTGTTGTTTAAAATGGTGGAATTTTCAGCATACATTTCTAGGAGTTTCCTTATTTCTCTGTCACTGAAATTTTTCTTCCTAGCTTTCTTGGACGGTTTGGACTCCATTCTACTATATGACTGAAGCTGCAAGCTCAGTATTTGTTCATCTATACGAACCTCGGCTTGCTGAGCACTGATCTAATGAAGTGTTGCTCGGGTGTAGTTAAGACAATCGTGTTTTGTCTTGGTGCAACATGCGTAGACAGGGAGAGTTAACCTGGCACATGGATGCCAATCTTTGCAGTATACTGCAGTTGTATCCAAGCAAACTTACGCCCCATTGGTGCAACCGGGCCCTCAGTGTTCATTCTAGGAATGTTTCAATATGGGACAAAGGGCCCCCATCATAAAAAGAAGTGGGTCATTACATTTTGAAGTGGGCCCTTTTTCAAATCTTTAAATAATAATATGTAACACGTGTTTTACTGCTGTGGTTTTAATATTCAGAGATGAAAAATACTTTATATCATAAAAATAATATTTTGACTTGCAAGTTCACATTCAATAGGTTATCCCAACTTTCTAAAATAAGAGACTTCACGCTCGAAATTTTGTTTACAAATATAAGATTACACTGAAATATGTTGATGATTCTTTCACCAATAACCAAATTCTTACTAAAACAAGATTTTAAAACCATTTTTGGCTTCAATTTATGAAAAAATCCATGAAATTTAATTAATTATATAAGGTGAGATAGCACATAAAAAGCTACCAGATTGAATGATATCACAAACATAAAAATCACTAAGAGAATCTGTCCCTTTTTTGATACCTACAAAGTGTACAGCTCACTGCTTGTTGTAAATTCTACGTTTCTTTTCCTTTTTCAAAATATCTAAGGCACTCTTAAAGTCAAAGTCCCCAATTGCCTTTCCTTCTATCATAATGAGCAAGCACTGCTGAAGTCTTGTTTCAGACAGTCTGTTCCTTCTGTGGTTTTTGATGTAGTATTGAGAACTGAATGTTCTCTCACAATCTGACGTGTGTATCGGAAGGATGAGGGAGATTGCAGCCAGCTTCAACAAATTGGGAAAGTCTTCACTATGGTGTGTTTTGATAATGCTCCACAGGTTGTAGGTGGCATCTCTCGCATACCCCATTCTGAAAACCAATTCTTTGAGTTTAGACCATTCACTCATACCTTGTTTTTCAATTATTATTGGCACTGATTTGGACCCATGATGTTCAACAATGTTACCATAATGGCTAGCAAGTTTCTGTATAGGGACTTCACCCCAATTTTCTCTTTCTGACTCAGACAAAAAGCTTAGTGGTCTAATGCTCAAATACCCAAATGCTGTTACCATATCCAAGTGATCCTGGGGAAATCTGGCATTTATGTTGTTAATGAGATTGTCAATAAATTGACACTGAATTGCCTTGCATTGTTTTTCATAATTAGCACAACAAGTCAGAAGGTGGTCCCTGAAGAATTTACGTTGACCTGTTCCCACCTTCAGGAGAAATTCCTCGATGTAGCTGCCAGGTTTACCAGTCAACCCTTCACTACTTGTGTCATGGTCCCTGTGCTTTTGCAGTTCTCTCAATGCATGCTTCACATTAACATCCACCAAGGCTGGGTCAAGATCTTTCTTTTGGAAGAGTAAACATAGCTCTGTGACAATGCTGAGGATGGACAAAAGCATATGGGTGACAAAAACAAAACTGAATTGTGAAAGTTTCTTTGCAAAACCTTTTGCCTTGGCATCACTTGCCCCCATTTCAGACATATAGGACACTAATGACCCATAAGTCCTGTAGATTGTTTCTATTGCTTTGTAGTAGGGCAACCATCGAACCTCATGGACTTCATTGCACTTTAAAATAGGTTCATCCAGCAGCTCCTGAATAGCTGTGATTCTGTTTACCCTGACAGATGATGCTTTAAAGTAATAAAATATACTGGTAATAGTTGATTGATAGTCCTTCATATAGTCTATAGCATTTGCTGCCTGGCTAGTACATAAAGCCAATCTGTGGGCAATACAGTGTATGTGAACCATCGCAGGATTTTCAGCAAGCAGTCTGCCTGCAACTCCATTTCCCATGCTGGTCATGCTCGCTGCACCATCAGAACCAAAACCATATATCTTACTAAGGGGGATCTCCTTTGATTTAAGATAGTCTTTGATAGCTACTGCAACTGTGGCACCCTTGCCATCTGTGACATTTATGTCGGCTACAAAGTGGGTAGAAGGAAAAAAGTTATCATCTAAAAGTCTGACACATATAACTAACTTTTTTGTTACTGTTACATCAGTGCTCTCGTCTGCTAGTATTGTTAGAAATGGTGAAGACTTCATTTTCTGAAGCAAGTCTTCCTCAACTGTGGCAGCAATAGCAGCAACCATATCCCACCTTGCTGTATCAGAATTATACTTTGCATTGTCACCTTGGTCTAAGTATGAAAGGTTGGGGCAATCCAGGTGCCGTAGCAACTCTATTAGGCTTCCAAACTTTCGAATTGCTATATATGCCCTCTTGAACTAGCCAGTACACGGACTTCATTGCTGACATGATTGCTCCATCTTTACCTATAAATGTTTTATAAACGTTACTTTAAATTTGAATTTGGACATTATAACCTGCATAAAATGTTAAATAGTGTTGAAGGTACCCGCAAACATTACTCCAGCACACAGTCCCTTACTTTATTTTTCCCTTAATCACCATGAACAGAGACCAAATCTCTCGACACACTAAAATTATGAAAAATGAATGTGAAAATTTTATCTATATATATACAAAAAATAATGTTCAGGGAAAAAACATGAGCGTAATGCCCTGTGTCAATGCTACGCAGCAAAGGCATTGTTTACATAGTTGTTCAGCATTGCGATATCCCAGAATGCACTTTCGAGAGTTCTTCAACCTACACAAATATAACTACAACACGTGGGTCCGGGACCGTCACGATAATCAACAACGTACACTAGTGTCACTTTGCTGGCTCATGCTCCTTGTTACAAATAAATATTGACAAAAAATAATATCTTACCTTCTAAAGCTCTGCAAAAAGCCTGTTTAGCTTGAGCTGATTCCGACGTTTCTTGTATGGCAAGCTTGTGGTCAGCAGATGTCTCATGGCGCATAAGGGTACTGGTTCGAAAGTTATTAGTCCCTTGAAAAAATATATTGTCCTTCTTTTTTTCAACACATAAGCTGCAATACATCAAGTTTGCGTTATTGTCGTATACAAGCCACTTGTATCTCTCCACTTTTTTGGAATGACCTTGAAGTTGCATTGCTAGTTGACGCGGTATCAGAAGTCGTGACAGCAGCACATACATCTACTTTAGCTCTCTTCTCCGATGGAAATGTCTGCAGTGTATGATCATTGTCTCCGTCGCTACTATTCTGATCCGTTTTAGGGTGATCTTTGGGATCGACTTTCTTAAAAAAACTTAAAATAACACTTTGCTTCTTCTCTGCCATCATGTACAATGGGGGCCGTAGCGATAGTCCGAAGGTTCAATAGTCCGAAGGTTCATTGGTCCGAATGTTCACTATAGAACCTTCGGACCAATGAACCCTTGATTAAAAAATCGATAAAAATGTTACCACTTTTCGGACCAATGAACCTTCGGACTAATGAACCTTTGGACTATCGAGACGCCCCCGTACAATGTACGAGTTGATCAATTGATTTACATGGACAATTAATCTCAGCCTATCAGGGATTCAAGAAAGGAGGGGCGATCGCCACTGATTTGCATAAAAAGCATGACGTCAGCATAAATTAAGATATTTGTTAAAAACTGCGACGAGCAAAGAATGTCTTCATTACGTCTAACGTAGGATCTTGATGTCAAGAGATGTCGAGTAAACAATCAAACTTCGGTCGTGAATTTGCCGTTTAGAACACAAAAATGCGCCGCTGTTAATTCTCTTGAATTTTGTTGGCGCAGCTCACTCTACGAATTGCGTCAACCTAATTTTTTCTGCGCCAATGATGCAAGGGCGCATCCTAGAATGAACACTGGGCCCTGGATACCAAACTGTATGGTATTCTGGCAAAAATTAAATAAGCTCTGGGTTAGCGCTAGTAATTTTTTTCGCTTAGCCATATCACCAAATTTTTGTCAATTTGTTATCAAAATGGTTATAATTTGGCTAAAACATGTCAAATTGAGCCCTTTTTCTTTAGCCAGTTGAAGTCAGTTTTAGCATTTGGCTAAATTGGCGAGTGTTAGCACTACCCCAGAAGCTGAATTACTTTGGACACATGATTAGAGCAAAAGATAAGGAAGCCATGATGATGATGATGATGATGATGATGATGGAGTTTGTTGAGGAGAAATGAGGAAGAGGTTAAAAAAAGACCAGTTGGCTGACCAAGTTGAGGGAGGCAACAATGCTATTGAGTGAAGACCCAGTTGGATGGAGGATGCTTTGCACATGGGTAGCCAGGAGCACGCCTCAATTCGATGGCAATAGTTGAAAGTTGAAGTACTAGTGCTTGGTTAGAGGATGATCTGATGGCTGTTTCTGTTTTAATTGAATTTTTAACATGTGTTGCACAAGTTTTTTAACTTGAATTTTGTAAGTGTAAAATGAAAATTTCTGTGGTTTTTATTGACCAATCAAGTTGACAGCCGAGCCTGTATATATCAAGCTACTTATCTATCCATACTGTATATTGTTTCCTTTTTTACAGATGGCCCATGTGAGACAGATATTTCAAGACTCATTTGTGGATTTTTGCAAGAAGAAGATGAGAAACAGCAAATATCCATCATTAAGCAAGTAAGAACAATTTAAATTGATGAAATATATTAGCCAACATCCATAGCCGTGGGTAAATGGTAACTATAGTGGATTGTGTCAGGTGATTTCGGGAAGGAGGGGTGAGGAGACTTCCCAAAAGTTAAAAAAGTGTCAGACATTCAGTCTGATAAAATCTAAAAATCTGTCAGACCAAAAAAAGATCTGCAAGACAAAAAATATAAATTCATGTATATAGCAACATGTTTTATTTTTGAGTTGTAGGTTACATATGTTACAGTAATTTTCTTAACTATACAAACAATTTTAATTGTTATTTCGAGAAAAAAATCATTTTGTTCTTAAGCTTTTATGTAATTTACATTTTCTGAATGTCTGTCTTACCTGTTACACATAAATAAGAAGTAGTGGTGATTATGCTATTAAACATGATGTAATTTTGCATCCAAATTGACAGAAACACTAGCTACATTATTTGAATTTTCAGATAACTGCTGCAGCTAAAACTGCCGATGCTCAAACAGGAGAAGTGAGTTTATGTATTCAAGTCCTAGTGAATGCATACCTTCATATGGCAGCAAGGATTCCAAAAAAGAGGGCTTTAGTCAGGTAAGGCTTTTTATGTTTTGTTTAAAAATATATATTTCTGAGTAGCATTTGTGGTGATTTTTCTGGGCAGATTTGATCTATTGGCCTGATTTTCAGTTTTGTTACTACCTCTCAATAGGAACATTACTTTTAAGACTTTATGCCTTAAATGATACAGAATCTGTAAATTTTTGCCATTGAAAAGATTGAGTCATTACTGAAATTAATAAGGTATTGGAAGAGGTTTACAATAAGAATAATTATTGCAAAGATTACAAGACATGCTGAAATTGGTGTATAAAATATTGCTGAGGTTGCTGATCATTATTACATTTGTGTCAGTATTTTCTTGTTGATCCAAATGTAGACTTTTTTCAAGGGCTGGATGTTAAGCAGCTTTGCTGCCTTGTTTTTTTTTCATGTACACAAATAGAGTAACTGTATAATAAGTTTGCAGTCAAGATCATGTCATTTTGAGTAACCGTGTTGTCATTTTTGGTACTTGGTATACCTTTTTGTTTTGTTGCACTTTCAGCTGCCTCCAGTGTTTTGGCTCAATATTTAAGGAAGAGATAAAAGATACACTGAAGGAGCAAATATGTTCCATGTTACTTGGTGTTGGCAATAATCCTGCACTGAAGCAGATAAGAGACTTAGTGGACATGCTTCATTCACTTAGTGAAAATTTTCCAATTGGGGAGCTGTGTGTGTTAGAAATCTATGTTGAAGGTAAAACCTTTTTATGTATTTGAAATTTTATTGAAGTTTATAGTTTTAGATATTGCTTTTTGTTAAGACTTAGTGGATATGCTTCATTCACTTAGTGAAAATTTTCCAATTGGGGAGCTGTGTGTGTTAGAAATCTATGTTGAAGGTAAAACCTTTTTATGCATTTGAAATTTTATTGAAGTTTATAGTTTTAGATATTGTTTTTTGTTAAGACTTAGTGGATATGCTTTATTCACTTAGTGAAAATTTTCCAATTGGGGAGCTGTGTGTGTTAGAAATCTATGTTGAAGGTGAAACCTTTGTATGCATTTGAAATTTTATTGAAGTTTATAGTTTTAGATATTGCTTTTTGTTAAGGCTAAAGGTCATTTTAAATATGTTAAAGGGATAACAACTCTTCATATGAGATCAATAAATACATTGTTTACAACATGTAGAAATATAATATATTCTATTTTACCACAAAAACGGCAGTTATTGCAATTATTCTGAAATCTGTGCTTGTCATCGGACCATGTGACCTCCTTAAGTGGCTGTACTCTGTAATAATCAAGACAAACTTTTTAGAATAAACCAGGAACTAACTTTGAATGTAAAATGGATACATTAACCATTGGTAAATATGGGAAAATTGTTTACCCCAGGAAAATTCATCTTTTGGCTCAGATGAACAGTTGTTATACTTTTGATCATCAAGCTGAGAGTAATATCAACAAAATGTAATATATTCAAGAATATTAATTACAAACCATAAATGTAATCAATAAGATTGTTTTGGTGCCAAGGAATTATATTTTACATTTTAGTGATAGTAATCACTTACAGGCTGGTAGCTGAGGCTGATTATTTCAATGAATTAAATGAATCAGCCGACTACACAATTTCCACAGTGTACTAAGATCAACAGCTAAATATTACAGAGGCAGTTTTCCAAATTATCTTTATTGACCCATCCCCCACTCCCCCCCCCTCTTTGTTTTGAATTCTATTTAGAGCCCCCCCCCCCCCCCCCCGGTAATATCAGAGGGTATATGTCTAACAGGCTGTCAGGTAAGGTAATATAGAGGACAATACAAACATTGCATAGAGACCATCTTTGCCATAGACTATTGTTTCACTGCACCTAACTTACAAGTTTTTGACAAAATAATGTTTTTGATCTATTGGTTTAACCACACTGACGATCCATTTCAACATATTTCATTACAGCATTAGAATTCCTTGCAAGGGCTCTAAAGCAGTTTCACCAGGATACTGAGTAAGTGTGTAAGTGTGTGTGTGCGTGTGTAAGATGTGATCTGAAATTGCAGATAAATACCATTTCAGGTGCACTAGTGATATAATTGTATCAGTGAGTTTGATGAAGAACATTTGGCCTAGATAGGTAAATAATAAAGAAAAAGAACAACAAAACATTTTATTCAAACTTTTAGGAAAAAGCTTGTGTAAAATTGTTTTAAATCAAAGTAGGATTCATTGGGAATATTGCTTTGTATATGTTTTAATGCAACCTTACTATAATTTTCTGCTTAATAGAATTAACAAGAGTCCTATAGAGAGAAAAGAAAGGATGCATGACATTATGACTGCTGTTCAGTCAGTGACCAAAATAGGACAGAAATGCCTGAAACCTATTTCACTAGAACTATATGAAGGCCGCAATAAAGCATCTTTGCTCTCCAGTATAAAGCAGATCTGTGAAAGTGTGACGGATATATTGGCTGATGGTAAGATACCTCAAAGTACTTTCATTATTTGATTCTTGAACACTGATTTTATGTACAGACACTGTGTATCTGTACATATTTCTATCACCTGTGTCTGCTGCCGACAAGGTCTTTGCTGTGCACTTTTCACTGTTAACAAAATGTATGAAATACCATGTAGAAGGTTTGTTAAGAATCAAAATTAGGCAAACCCTGCATTTTGCAGGACAAATGTCTAACTTGGTAGGAATGTTCCTTGGGTCAAAAAAAAAAATGTCCATAGAGACAATCTCTATTGATACAGAAATAAACACAAATAGCATAAATTATGAAAATTAGGTGCCAAAATAAAATGTTTCGTATTTCCATCAGTGTTTTTTCTTTGTCTAGAACAAAATTAGAGACTCATTTTTGACATTATGAAGCAGTTTGTGGCCTTGTTGTCCCTCAATTCCAATTTGGCAGCCAGACACCATTTTGAAATTAGGCATGATCTACTGTTTTGAAATTGTTGTTTTCCTAAAGAATGTAGAAATGTTGTGACTTTTTATTTTTGGGTGCTGAAGGCATTTTTGGTACATGAAACATAGAATGTGAATAGAAACTATTATAAGCTTCCAGCGTCAATATGGGCCTAGTTGTCACAAAGACTTGTATATGTCTAAGCTAAACAATGCATCTTTGATGCTATGAGGACAATTGGTAGCCATTCTGTTGATCTAAGCTAAAGTGTCCCTATTTTAAAAATTTGGCATAATTTACCATATTTGAATAGTTGGACCTGCAACCTAATAGTTGCTACTATTTTTAAGTCACCGATGAAACTTGTGGTGTTGTTTTGATGACAGAAAATAATCAAAAGATCATAAAGGGTTTCTAAAGTAAATTCCAAGATGAATTTGATTGAGTGGGCTAAGAAACAGATCTCTCTCTCTCTCTCTCTCTCTCTCTCTCTCTCTCTCTCTCTCTCTCTCTCTCTGATTTTAGGTGGAATTAACTTTCTTATTGTACCACCAGCGTGAATTTGACATTTGACTTACTTTTCACCATGAACTGCAGTATGCCAATTTTCTGGCCTGCATATTTCCAAAAATGGCTGAGATACATCCATAGTTACAGTTCATAGGAAGTCATATATTGAAAATCTTAACATGCCCATGAATTTGACATATGACCTACTTTTCCTCATAAAATGCATTTTGCATAGTTACCAGACCATATTTCTCCACAATTAAAATGGATACATCCATAGCTACCATTTAACGTGAATAGGATTAATCGCGCTGGTGGGACAATACCTGGTGGTGGTAGCACCACTCTGATCCTCCAGTTTTATTATATTAATGTTATACAATATTGTTGTTGATAGATACATTCCTCCTCGACTGCAGAGTGACATGTGGAATAGCAGTTCCCCTGATTGTAAAAATCTGCTGTGATACTGAAGCTGTGGCCATGGTTAGTTATTATTGTTATATTTATTTAAAAATCAGTTTCTTGTGAGTCTTTTATTCAGTTCAGTTCTGTGCTTAAGTAATCATGTCTGTGCATAGCTTATAGCTATATAACCTTTATAGCTCTTCTGAAATATTTTAAACAGGGTAATGATATTATTTAGAAACATCAATGGTCCTTAACCAATTACAACCTTATCTTAAATTTCAGGTGATCAATCTAATATCCCCAAATGTCAAAAGTTACAAACTGATTGAAAATCAGAGTGGAGCTTTGCTGAAAGGGGGCACTGAATGGTTGGTTGCCAGGTTTTCAGATGCACTCAACAGGGACACTCTTCCCCTGGTCTCATACGCATGTTTATGTCATGGGGTTCTGGCTGTACTGACTGAAGATGAGCTTTTGACTCTATTGGGTGATGAAAAATGTCTTTTAGTGGATGTTTTGTTTGCAGAACTGGAGACCTTTTGTAACAGGTACACACTATGATTATTACATTTTAAAGTCTGTGTTAATCACTCTGTAAATAAGTAACTGGCACCGTAAAGTTAAATATATATATGTATTTACACATTATAGTTTAAAGGACAATAGACACATAAAAATCCTTTTCTCGAATTTTGAAGATTCAGCACTCAATCTATACACTAGAGGTATGTTTTAATCGATCCCCGCCATTTAAAAATTATAAAAACAATCTATTAGTAGAAAAAAAGTCATTTTAGTAAACCTCACTTTAAAATGCATAAATGAAGCAACAGATCTGGGTCACGTGGTACTGTGACGATAATGAGGATAAAGGTCTATGAGACTTAACTGAGCTGCATGGTGCATACAGACAGAATAGTTTAGGACAGATGTGTTGAATGGAGTTGAGCAATTTTCGTTATGCCTCAGTGTGTTGCCGTGGGATTCACCAAAATTGCAGCACTCCTTGACAATCTTTCGTGACTTACTCACTAACTTTGGTGACAATAGTTGCGATGCTCGAGATCTCTACACCTCAGGTGTTTTAGATCATATCAAAAGCTGATAGTCTTTTAGATTTACTGTCATCAGTTGGCAAGCTTACTAATTGCTGATGCATTTTAAATGCATTGTAGTTGACCAAGAGCTCGTTAACAATAAAACCTGTTAATTATGCACCGCTGCAATTCCCAAGCCAGGTAATAACAGGTATCAAACTCGTCATGGTGGGCTTTCATATTTTTCAATATATCTCATTTATTTCATATTAGTATTTGACAATGACGTTAAATATCAGTATTTAAACAATTAAATTCAAACACGGTCGCAAACATTAATAAAAGAAATTGCTCTCAGATTTATCATTTTATAACTTGAAACGCAAGTTCTGCATCTGTACGCAAAACTTTTTGAAACTTTGTAAGCTTTGTCAAACTAAAAACATGTACATGTAGCAGATCAAGGTAAAAGAGCATTGTTTGCTACTAGTAGCATGGAAGAAATCATTGAAGCTACAATTTTTTTAATATTGATTTAAATCCCCTCTTCGAAAAATTGTATTATAACACCGTGCTATAAAGATCTACTCAAGAAAAGAATTTGCTTGGGTAAAATTGAGTACGGAATGAACTGGAGACACTTGGCTTGTCATTAAGTTTTCACGAAAATATGTCAGATAACTTTATACTGTCCTTGAAAGAGTAAAGATTGAAAGATAATTTTAGACAAACTTTGATGGGGGAAATATCAACAAAGAGTAAAGGGCTATTGCGCCAACATCTTGTTGAAAATTTTACACTGCAATTTTATTAAAATAAGCTAAGGAACTAATTGCCAAATTTAGACTTTCATCACATAACAGGGCGTAACCAGACCTGCAAAAATTGTACGCACAGATTTTAAAAAATTACAAGCATGTACAGCAAAATGTAGACTAACGCAAAACATGAAGGACAGCGTAATCACAGCAAATGTACCTCATATAGTAGCTTAATTTCCGTTAATAATAAAATCATCATTTAAGTCAAAAATATTCTCACGATTTAATAAATATTCTAATTTACCCAGAATGGTATATTTATTTAAAAGGAGGCTAGCTAAGCTGGATCAAGTCCGTGTTAAAATTCCTATGAAGCTGTGCAGGAAAAATTCTTCCTTTGTTTCTCTAGCTCCTCGATAAACCTGGTGTTCAGATTTTATCTAGTACCCCCAGGTCTGCGCGAGCTGCTCTTTGAAACTAACGCACAGGTAGATTTTTACCTGAGATAAATATCCCCAGCGGGGTGCGTTTGATACTTGCAAGACAAAGGCTACAGGAGAATTGAATGCCATTTAACCCTCTAGTTAAGAGGTAAAGGAAGTTCCAGTTAGATGGATGATTAAGATAGGACTTGTAAAGGTAACGGGCATTGTTTACCTCAGTTTAATAAAAGTATGCAAGACGGGGTGTCAGCGGTTTAATAAAATAAATTGAATTTCACAAATAACATGGACCTCATGTGCAATAATCAACAGTACCCTTAACTCATTCAAATGCAGTGTTTTATACAACTTGGGATAACCATAATTAAATGCTTGTTAAAGAATTGACTAGACGGGAAATGGTTTTACACAGCTTCACGAGGATTAAGACCCTTCGGGTAAGAGATTTGAATGAGTATAAACTTTTATCAGAAGCCAGAAAAGTCATCTTACAGGTAGATAATGCAGCTCAGTTTGACAGCTAAGCACGCTCTGTTCTCTGGTGGCACAATTGTCGTCATCGGACCACGTGACCATGTAGCTCATTAACTCCCAGGCCGAGCAAATAGGACGTTTTTTAAAGCCAGAAATTTACAAAATGAGCTTTTAATTTGTGTATTTGGATGAAGATATTGTTAATTGGGCATGTTTTTGGAAGAATATGTTCCGTTCAGGCTATTCTGACGGTGTGTCCATTGTCCTTTAAAAGTTCAAAAATGAAGTCATCTGCTCAAGTACACACATAGAAAAATGGAGTGCCAAACTGAATGTTGTTTTTCTAATATTTACGTAAAGGATGTCGGATGCAACCACAAAACTTATAGTATCCAGAACTTTGGTGTTGTGGACTACAAGAGCTTGGTAAGACACACTTATTTTATGCCATATCAATAAAAAAGATGATTTCCATGTTTATAATAAATTCTATCAAAATTGATTTGACACATGCCATCTGAAGGTGGAAACACATTTGACCATTTTCTGAATAGTCAACAGTCATTTATACCTTAAAAACACCATTGCAAAAGCAGATAAAAGAAGAATTGCATTTCTGTATTAAATTTAGTACAAGAATTGTAAACATAAGTTTCAAGCATGATACATATAAAGTTACTTCTCTATGTTTGATGAAAATTTGTCTTTCAGTTCCATCCTGGCAAGCTTACCAGCAAACATGCAGCTACAGTTCCAAGGAAATTACCATGTATCAGATACTTTACTGCAGTATGTCTGGACTCATTGGGAAAACCCTATTGATGTAAATAATAGCTTATAATATACATTGTGAGAAAATCGCTATGCTATGCAGAAATGAATTACTTTTTGAAATCTGAGCACATGTGAATAAGTAGTATTAATATTTGTTGTTTTATGTGCCAATTTATTAGGATTACAAAATTAGACCTATAAGTAATTTGGCCAACATATATGATATAAGGTTTTCTTCTGATATTGTTTTTCAACAGTTTTAAGGGGATTTTCTTTCAATTTGAGAGCAAAAATGTTCTTTTGATATTTTTCCCCATCTCAACATTTTGTTTGTTGGTCATGTAAAAATGATAGTAAATTGGTTATTTTGTATTATGTAAAAAAAGTGTTGAAAATGGACATTTTTCCTGCTTTATGTCTGTACATTTGACAGCTTTGATAGCTTGTTTTGCTTGTTTTATTTATTTATTTATTTATTTATTTATTTATTTATTTATTTGTTTGTTTGTTTGTTTTCCAGGCTGTAAAACATCAATCAAAAGTAATATTTGAGAATTGTATAAAATTGCACCTGCTAGCAACAAAAGAAGGTAAATATACCCAATCTGCTTTCTGGGTAGAATGTTGAACTTTAGTTACTTTAGGTTGCATTCAGGACAGTTGATCCCCGTGGGTCCATGGATCAAATATGGCTGACCCCTCTTGAAAACAATGCTGCTAATTCCCTAATATTCTACCTGCCTACCACACATGCCAGGCCTGCAAGGGCCTGGCGATTAAATGGATAAACTTTTAGTTCAGAGGTGTAAGTGCTAGGTCTGTGCCGGGATGGTGCATGCAGAGGCAAGGAGACCATCAAGGGGTTAGGCTGCATTGCTTTTAGGTAGGGTCAGCCATATTTAGTCTGTGTTGGGTTAGTCCACAGATCATCTGTTGTGAATGCAACCTCAGAAATCCCATCCTGAATATTGAATTATACATTGGATACGGGTAGGAATGTTTTATGTTATTTATCTATGTTTTCAGCAAATTATTAATGGTATTCAGTATCTAGTGCGTTATGCATGGTATTAAGATATAAGATGTATAGCTGAATTAATTAATCTCTGAAGGGATACATGTATGATGTACTCTTTGGTAATTAATTATTTTTCTTTTCCGTTACAGATCCAAGGCAGAGCACTTTTCTTGTCACACTTGCAGAAAAACTGATTCATAGTAATAAGCATTTAAAGGGAAAGTATGCCTCCTTGTCCTGTTTAGTGGAGTATGTAGGCACCAAGGCATTGATTAAAGTGGAACCCAACCTGTGTCAAGACCTCTTAGAAGTACTCTCTGAACAAGCTATGGCTAGCCATGTAAGTTCAACAGAAAATGAGAATAAGAATTAGGGAAAATCAGAGCATTTCACTAGTGGGCTTGATTTGGCCTTAAAGTGCAATTTAAGAACACAAATAGTCTTACATGATCTTAAAACATGAGTAAGACCATTTCTAGTCTGACAGCCAATTAAGTTGTCTCCCCTTACACATTCTCCTATTGTGAGCAGAGGTGTCCTCTATTGTGAGAGGAGGTATCCCCATTGTGAGGGGAGGAAAATGCTTGACCACTTAAGTAGATGTTAGATCATTTTTGATCTTAAAATCAGATTCAGTCCATTTTAAGACTACTGCTGTAATGATTAAGATCATGTAAGATCACCTGTGAACTTAAATTGCACTTTAACACCAAATCTAGCCCAATAGTGTTTCCTTTTTGTATATGTAGTTCACTTAATAAGTAACATGTTGATGTTTTGTCCAAATCTAAAGAAATCACTTTTATACATGGTAAATATGATTGTTTAATATTGCTGGTACCTGACATCATGTACGCCAGATGCAAGTCTGACTTGAAGTTAAGCATTTATTGTTCATTCATGTTTTCATTTTTACGTGGACATATCATATTCAGACTACCTCATAAAGGCAGACTTACTGATTATCAATTTAAAATAAGCAAGGCACACAGGCTTACAGGCTTGGTTAAAAGTCCACACTGTACATTTAAACACAAATATTCTCTCTTGTGAGTTCGCTTTTATTTGCATGTATTTTGACAATGGAATGTTATTGACGTGGATGGACAACATAAAAGAGTGAAATAATCAAAAATATACTTATAACTTATACAGTAAGTGCTTAATCTTCAAGTGCTTGAGACTTACTATTGACATTATGGTCAGATGTAATATTTTTTATTTTAGGCAAGTGAACTGTTGGAGAAGCTCTTTATTGACCACCAGATGGAGCTAGATTGTGCAATAAATGTTCAAGAGGTGAAACATTTGTGGTTGACAACCTGGGTAGATCCAGTTCTGGAAGGGCTTTGTACTGGTTGCAAGCAGTTGAAGACTCAGCTAATAGAAGTATGGTTTTTTAACTTCTGATATATCTATTTGTGTAATTTGTGTAAATTCATGGTAAAAAAAGTGCTTGTGAAGATCAAGAAATGCTAATTTAATTTAGTATGAATGTTTGCGTCAGAAAATTGAGATATTTAACTGTAAAGTATTGCTTTTTCAGTATGTTCTTCCCAAGTTGTTAAGAGCAGAGCCATATTGTGTACAGTATGTTATCACTACCATCACCAAGCAGAAACACCAAGGTATTTTTTAGATCAAACATTTTCTACATTGATTATTTAGTAAAATGACATGTATTTAAACAAGAAAAATAATTGGATGGAATAGAAACAGGTTGAAGTCTTTTGTCTGATGTACATTAAGCAGACATGCTGAAAACTTTTCAGAATGGCCGGACATGATCGGCAATAATGAAAAATTGGCCAGACCGAATGGATTTTTGTCGGACCGAAAATCACCCTGTTCGTTTGAGACAGATACTACCAGTACGATTAGGTAGCTTACTTTGTTTGTGAATGTGATACTGATAGGTTTGAAATGGAAGGAAAAAACGCTTTGGGTTTTAAATAATTTTATTAGTGAGGTATGTCGAATGATGACTATAAATTCAAAATTGCGGTTCTTTAAACTCTTGTCGGTCCTTTGGACCGACCAAGTCCAATTTTTTACAGGTCCAGACAAATTTTCCCGGTCGTGACAGATCGGACTGACTGTTTCAGCATGTCTGTAATAAGGGGACAAAGGCTACGGGTGACATGCCAAAGTGACAGGGTGTCCCATTAATTTGCAAGAACACACAGAAACGAACTGGCAAAAGTCAGATTAAGATGGAGCAATGCATGAATAACTTTTTTGTTGGTGCCGAGTTAGGCAATATTTTGACAGAATACAATAAAGTTGAGATTAATGATGATGTCATAGAGATTGAGGCCAGTGGAAACAAGTTTTTATGTCTCCTCCATCTCAGTGTACCACAAACTTTTATAGTCTCATTCTTAGCAAGAAAGAAGGCAACAATATTGATTGTTCGTGATTTGGCCAAACAAGGCCGCTTTTATTATATAATCCCTCTATCCTAATCGTTTTAACAATAATAACAATGTAGCAAATTGTTGCCTGTATTAAATGTTATGGCCTTAGGGATAAAAATTATATATCCAATATTCAATAAGACTCATCATCCTAAACATTATGATGCGACGAGTCAGCAAAAGTTATTATTTACCAACAATTTTGCACAAATTTCATTTGTGGGGTTGCAAAGAGGCATGTCATCAGGTGACTGGAGATTCTACACGCAAGGACCCTTAATTTCTTTGTGCAGTCACAGTGACCACTATCACTAGCAAACAAGAAACTCCTGGATAAACAACGTTTTGTCAACATCAACTGCTAAATCGCTAGAGAAAATAAATCTTACCGCATTCATGTAACAGTCGGCAATTGTACTGTTGATCCTTGCTTGAAGTTGCAGAATCTGTCACTGTACGCTTCAACAGATCGAGTGAACTGCTGGAAAGTCCCCATAGAGGTAAAATGAAATTTTTTTGAACTGAAGATTTCAGTTGAAGATTTGAGATAACTTGTAGCTTAATTGTATCATGTGCGTGAACAGAATGAATCAAGCAAAACGAGGCCAGGCAGTGATGCCCCATGGTATAAGTAGCAACATTTGCCTCAATGGAGATTACCCCTCTAGGGCACAATTGAGCATGTTCAGAATGCACATGTGCGTAACTAAGCTCTGGAGATTGTTGTCGCCATAAAATGTCGTTTGACTACGCCAAACTTTCCTATGTTTCTGTAGCAGTAGAAAATGCTGTGGACGAGGGTGTCTTTTTACCACAGGAAGAGTCTCAACTTCCCAATAATGAGCCAGCTCAAGTGCCACAACAGAAAATTAAATAAAACTGATGCTACCTTTTACTCTGAAGTTCTTTTGTACACTTATGCACAGTGTTAGACTTGTTTTTCATGAAACATCAGATGCCAGTTCACCATTTTCCATTTATAATATTGAAAACATGTTGAGATAAAAGTTGGCATTTTCAGTCAAAACCACTTGACTAATGCTAGATGAAAATCTGGTTCCTTTGTCAAAACTGCAAGGTAAGAATCAAAATTACATAACCCACTGCATGCTTGATACACTTGAGTTAAATAAAAAAAAGCAAATAACATGTTTTGGCCTTAGAAAGAACCCTAAACTAAAAAATCCTATAAGGTGTATGAAAACACCAAAGTGGGGACTCACAGCACATGTGTCATATGTCTCAGTTATCTACCACCATTTCTTACAAATTTTGGCAAACTTATCTCACCAAAGTACTGCAGAAGTAATGTTTGCATGTCACACTCACAATTTTCATAAACACTTGTAAATTTGCAGAAATCTTATTATTATGTTTCAAGATGGCAACTTCATATGTTACGTAACAGACTTATATGGCTCTTTTGATCATTAACAGGTGTTTATTGATAAAGACCAATGATATTGCTGGAAATTGTCATGCCCCCACTCTCCCACCTGTTTCTGTTCCATTCCAGTTTTACTTCCATGATTTTCAGTGCACTATGTTTGTTCTTTTAAGCGAAGATCTTATTTTTTGTGTCAGTTCCAAAAGACAAGTAAGAAAATGGTCGAGAGCATTACATATGATAAAAATTGGGGCATGTTTTATTTGATTTTTTTTTTGTTTGGTGCATCAACTTCTAATTTTTAAATGCTTTTACATAATCCCTTATTTTTCTGTTTCATTTTAAATTTTTTAAAAGGAGACAACAGCAGTCAACTGGGGGCTCTTATGACATGCCTAAAGAGAGCTAAGAGCATTGGAATTCTTAAAACATCACCTGAAGAGCAAGAGAAGTGGAATGAAGTAGTTCCTGTGTTTGTGTTAAGAGCTGCATTGTGTCATTCTGATGACCAGGTAAAGAATAAAATACCCAGATGAGCAAAATTGTTCATCAGCTTAGCACAAATACAATTACATTTAAGATTGCACTTTAATAGCCCAGGCTTATCACCCCTTGTTATGCATGTTATTGATTGTGTTAATTATAGGGGATTTAACACAAGCTGTGGGAAGGCAGCAGGAATAATTACCTGCCTTAAATCTACTTGACTTGATTTAAAATATCCACTGTGAGCGATAGCTAGCACCATCAATAGAAGAATGCTTCTGCACTTGCATAAAAATATAAACCATAAGGGGGGTGCTGAAATATCGGCCTTGTTCAGGCCTACCCAACTATCAGATGTGGCACTGAAGGATCCAGAATTCACTGGTACATCAGATCGCGCTACTGGTTTTCAAGGTACATGTATCAGTACACATTTCACAGTATCATACCCTGGGACAAATTTTGTACGAGGACTGTGAGCTCTACCTGTCATCCGACTTAAAACATACTTACTACTGCTAGGCTTGGCATCAAAAACAGTTGATTATTATTTATTGATCGCATAAATGAGATTTACTACTTTCCAACCCCTCGCAGAATCATTGCTATCTCATCATGTACCAGCCAAGAGGACGACGCGTACTGATACACATCTTGAAAAGTGGTAGCATGATACAATTCCAAACACATACTTTACTCATACTTTACATACTTTACTTCCTGTACTGTAACTTCCTGTAACCACTAACATATTGAATATTCCCACTTCAACAAAATTAACACTATCAACAAAAATATAATCTACATACATTAACAACTCTTACAAAAAGTCGCATATTCCACAAACAATCACAAAATATTCATCATCTGCTCTTGATTTTGACCTTTATCCTACTTCTCCTCATAAAATACTCTCGCAACATTTACCCAACCTACTTCACATGTAGCCATACCTACCCTTCAATAAAAAATCTTCAAGTGCTCTGTAAAATCTTAAATACATGTATGAAAGTTTTGTGGAGCATGCCCTGGTCCCAAAGGGACCCTGCACCCCTGTACCCCAGCTACATTTTTAGGGTTGTTAGATTTTACAACTTTCATTATGTATGAGAATAATCAAATTGACAACATTTATTTCCCCAGCCTTCAGTCATTTACATGATATAACTATAATAAGCGTGAAAGGAAAACAGTGTTCATTTTAATTCTAAAGCTTACAAAAATAGATTCTTAGGACTTAAATACACCCTAAAGTGGAAAATCAGCCTATTTGGATACTTTTTCTTAAAGTAATGATTTTTATTGTGAAATTTTCATATTCACACATTTTCATTGTGTGACTTTGAAGTCTCATAGGCCAGAAGTCCTATGCTAGTGACATATTCTTAATATTCATTGTACCTGTTGTGCTTAATTACATTTTTGTGTTGATTTTGCTGCTGAGCATTATGTAGTATTGCATGAAAATTCACAAAATAACCTTATTTGTACATCGTAACTATCTGCTTTATGTCTGTACATTTGACAGCTTTGCTGCCATTTTTAATTCGTTTCTAGGTGAGGCTTGACGCATTGGGACTCCTGTGTGAAAATCCCAAAACCACAGAGACAATCAACAGCACAGACTTTGAACTTGTCAAGTTCTTCTTACCTCTCAACATGAACAGTCAATCCCCAGCTTTCAGACAAACTATGTTGGCATTTTTGAAGAGGGTAGGTCTTCATTTTATAACAGTCAGTGCTACATGTATGAGGAAAATCCAGTCAAAACTTGCAAAACCTTCCATGAGTTTAAAGATGCATACAAAGTCAATTTTTTGTCACAAAAACCAACCAAATGCCAGCATATAGTTTCAAGTAGCATAACTAAGAGAATTACCAAAAGGCATTGTTTAATTTTACCTGAAAATGATGTTTGAATGGATTTTTCTTCTGGCATTCTAAGCTGTATGTCAATGGGGCAGGAAAGTAGGTCACAAAAGTAGGTTAAATTTACAACCAAAAATTTAAAGAAAGGAGCAGTCTAAAGGTCTTTTATGGCTGATCGAGTGATCTATTCAGTTTATCCCTTGGCATGTCGAATTTATATGAGTCATATAAGAATCTAGTAGAAGTGGTTTACATGTGTTACTGGGAATCCACGTTCCACCGATGCTCGGTTCATATGTACCTTTAAAATAAGATGTTTGATGAGAAAATTGGACTGTTGATAATTATTGTTAAAGCAATAATAACTCTTCGTTTCGGCCAAAAAATGAATTTTCCTGGAGTAAACAACAATTTTCCCATACTTACCAATGGTTAATGAATCCATTTTTACATTCAAAGTTAGTCCCTGTTTTTTTTCTAAAAAGTTTGGTTTTTTGTTAAAATCTCTTAAGAGATTTTAACAGAGTATAGACATCAATGGAGGNCTGGCATTCTAAGCTGTATGTCAATGGGGCAGGAAAGTAGGTCACGAAAGTAGGTTAAATTTACAACCAAAAATTTAAAGAAAGGAGCAGTCTAAAGGTCTTTTATGGCTGATCGAGTGATCTATTCAGTTTATCCCTTGGCATGTTGAATTTATATGAGTCATATAAGAATCTAGTAGAAGTGGTTTACATGTGTTACTGGGAATCCACGTTCCACCGATGCTCGGTTCATATGTACCTTTAAAATGAGATGTTTGATGAGAAAATTGGACTGTTGATAATTATTGTTAAGCATGTAAGGACATCTAGAATTATATATTTTTCCTTTTTAGTTTTTGTGCAGAGTAAAAGAAAGTGGCCAGGTATTATATCGGACATTGAAGTGCAAGAAAATGGAAAGCAGTCCTGCAACTAAAATTTTGGAGTTATACAAGGTACAGAAAAACACTGACTTTAATTTGACCTTTGACATGTATTTTAAGGTCAACTGGGATAATATTTTGAAATTTTTGTGCAAAATAAATAGTGCTGATTTTCATAAACTTCATACACCTATGTACTTATATAATGGTGAGAATTTACAATTTACTTTTAGCTGTGTGAGTTTGGGGTCAAACTATGCATTTTAATGTTAGTATCAATTGATTAACTTAACAATACCAAAACTGAAAACTAAATTTGACAGATTATATTGAAAATCAACATTTTTGATTAAAGTTATTGATTTGTTAAATTACTACTTTATATTTGGTAATATAAATAAAGAGAATATTGTTAACATCAATATTTGGAAATTATGAAATTATTGCCAGTTCAGTGGATGCAGAAATGTTTATCCTTCATTTTGATTTTTTTAATGTAGTTCTGATGATTTTCCCATTCAGTGTCTGTGTATTTGCCGACTTTGTAGTTGATTTGTTTTACCAGGTGTTTTTACACTGGCTGCTTGACCATATCTTTTCCTGTCTTCATCCTGGAGCTGCCTTTTCAAGAAGAACTACAGCTCTTGGTGCTCTTACCATTTTAACAGAAATCTTATCAGATCAACACAAAGGTAGACTACAGATTTTTACCACGTAATCACACTTAAATCATTTATTAAGGTTAATTTGACAGTGACAAAGCTACCAGGGAATGGGGATCCTGAGGATGAATAATTCTTGACACCATCTAGCCATCTAGCTCAATAACACTCTCAGTAATATTGCCCCTACTGCATTTACAGCACATTTTGGTATTTGGTAAGGTGACAAGGCCCAAAATGTGTTGATTGCTGTATTACATGTATGTTGTCACTCTTCCATGNAGGTCTCATACAAAGAGTTATTATGCCTTTAAGCATGTAAGGACATCTAGAATTATATATTTTTCCTTTTTAGTTTTTGTGCAGAGTAAAAGAAAGTGGCCAGGTATTATATCGGACATTGAAGTGCAAGAAAATGGAAAGCAGTCCTGCAACTAAAATTTTGGAGTTATACAAGGTACAGAAAAACATATATATATATATATATATATATATAAATTTTAACATTAAATTTAATGAAAGGCTTTGTTTGGTAAAAAAAATCCTTACCAATATCTGACTTTAATTTGACCTTTGACATGTATTTTAAGGTCAACTGGAATAATATTTTGAAATTTTTGTGCAAAATAAATAGTGCTGATTTTCATAAACTTCATACACCTATGCACTTATATAATGGTGAGAATTTACAATTTACTTTTAGCTGTGTGAGTTTGGGGTCAAACTATGCATGTTAATGTTAGTATCAATTGATTCAACTTAACGATACCAAAACTGAAAACTAAATTTGGCAGATTATATTGAAAATCAACATTTTTGATTAAAGTTATTGATTTGTTAAATTACTACTTTATATTTGGTAATATAAATAAAGAGAATATTGTTAACATCAATATTTGGAAATTATGAAATTATTGCCAGTTCAGTGGATGCAGAAATGTTTATCCTTCATTTTGATTTTTTTAATGTAGTTCTGATGATTTTCCCATTCAGTGTCTGTGTATTTGCCGACTTTGTAGTTGATTTGTTTTACCAGGTGTTTTTACACTGGCTGCTTGACCATATCTTTTCCTGTCTTCATCCTGGAGCTGCCTTTTCAAGAAGAACTACAGCTCTTGGTGCTCTTACCATTTTAACAGAAATCTTATCAGATCAACACAAAGGTAGACTACAGTTTTTTACCATGTAATCATACTTGAATCATTTATTAAGGTTAATTTGACAGTGACAAAGCTACCAGGGAATGGGGATCCTGAGGATGAATAATTCTTGACACCATCTAGCCATCTAGCTCAATAACACTCTCAGTAATATTGCCCCTACTGCATTTACAGCACATTTTGGTATTTGGTAAGGTGACAAGGCCCAAATGTGTTGATTGCTGTATTACATGTATGTTGTCACTCTTCCATGCTGACTCTTTTAAATATTATGTATCCTTTTGTCAGCTGTGGCTTGCTTGTTCTTGTTTTTTTTTTTTTTTTTTTTTTTTTTTTTTTTTT